ATATCCAGTATGATGTTAGTAGATGTTGTCCACTGAGTCCTTGAAGAATAAGGAACAGATTTTTGTTCAGCTTTTTAGGAAATTCTGTAACTCAGGCCTGGATCACTTACAGAAAATCTGAGGTAGCTGAAGATCATTTTAAAAAAAAAAAAAATAGTAAAGTTTGTAGAATGAGTTGATTGGTGGTAAAGCTACAAAATTGATACCTGAGTCTAGGAATAAAAGATTAACTCTTCTGTTTTGAAATCTCTGAAATGGATTTATTTGACTATTTGAATAAACAAAAAGCTCTTTTAGATTCTTTAATTAACTTTGTTAACTATTAACTTTGTTAACTGTTAACTTTGTACAGCTTAAAGAATCACAAGTTAATTTGAAGGTTGGTTTGTTTGTTTGTTTGTTTTAACCCCCTTACTATTAAGCTTACTGTAGTTGATAGTAAATTAAGTACAGTCCTGTGTTTTATTTGACGATGAGTCTGACATCTCCTTTCATGGATGTTCATTAGGCTTGAACACTTACTAGATGATTCCAAATGTCTGTGGTTTCCCATTGATGTAGGTGAAAATTAGACATTGGATTCCCCTGCCTCACATACCCACCCAGTCCTTAGATTTACCAGCAAGTGCTCAGATTGTCAGTTTAGCAGATCAGCTACATCTTTTCTGAAAGAACAAGCCTTCTGGGTAGTGAAAACATTACCATTATTGATTTCTGTGGATTTATGTGCTCTAATTTATTATTTTAAAGGACATTTGAAACACTTGGAACTTAGATTAATGCAACAAGTAAGTTGGTAAGTGAATCATAGGAGTGTCATAAATAAAAGCAGAAATGACAACAGTTTGCCATCTCAGTCCTCTATCTCTGTTTTAGGTGTCATTTTAATATTTTTTGACTGTTTGCCCTAAGTGAGCCCTACAGACTCTGAGACTTCTCTGACTCATTCATTCTTTCTAGTTAAGATTTTTTTTTTTTTTGGTAACTCTAGCAGTGGATCTTTTTAGCTTCAACTGGCCTGATATTCTCTGATATTCTCTTTAGTTGTGCGGCGTGCCACTTTGTTCACTGAAATCTCTTCCTTTTTTCTTTTTAGATTTTGTATGTTTGAACACGAACTGAAGGGCACTGAATTTACCTGTATGTTAGCTGTCTTACTGTTCTGAGTTATGCTGTGGTAGTTCCTGATAGCTGTCATAGGCAGGCAAATAACATCTCCGACTGTTATTTTTGTCTTCTCAGTTCAAAAAGAGCAATGCAATACAATACACAGTAAAACAGTTGTAAGCTTACAAAATTGGTGTTATCTGTAAGTTACTGAAAAGTGTAGTTTTAAAGCCTATGGCTTTTTGGAGAATTACCTAACAGTGATGCAAAATAATCTGTTTAATATTCATTCACTGCATTGAATAATAAAAACTTTTTTAGACTTTAAATGAAGATTTAATGTATTGTATTTTGTCAATTCAGTTGATATTTATGATCCCGTACGTTTAACATTCATGATGATAAAATATTTTGGACAGAGCATTGATGTTTTGGAAACAGGAAGGTCGTCTTTCTCTACAGAAAAGCTGCAGTTTTTTGGTAGTTGTTCAGTGGCATCTGGATAAGTGCTGAAGGTGATGGCTCTTGATATTAAAATTTGCAGTGAGCTCATAGGTGGTATAGTTACTTTATTGTTTTTAGGTTTCAAATGCTGTCTTAGCATCCATACCTCATCGCAATTGCTTCTGGTTAGGTATAAAAATTACCTCTTTGAATGGGATTCCCATTCATATCATCATTCTTCAGCAACCACAAGGCTTTTAAACCTTTCCCTCCCCACCCCCTATAGAATTAGACCTTGTATCTTTGAATAATGCTTGCTAATAATAGAATAGTTTTTTGACAAATTGTGAATTTTGAGCTCATCAACAGAAAAAGTCAAATACTCACTTTGAGTGTTCTAACATACTGTGCGTATACTGCGTGTTTTGCTATTTTTTGTGTAATGAGAAATTTACTATTCAGCAGTAAATATCTGAGGAAATGATGCTGTGTCAAATCCTGACTTGTAGGAGTGGTTTTCTAGGAAGACTTATTGAGTGAGGCAGTACAAAACTCTTTCTGGGCTCTTTAGTAGTCAGAATTTTCTTAGGAGACTATACTTCATTCATCAAGCAGTTGTTTTGCCCTGTTATAAGTGTATGGAGGTAAAGTGGTTTCTGTGCATGATTTTGTGAGCTTCGGTGATAGCTTGATGCTTCACAGCCTCACTCCAACCTCATACTTCCCTTGTTTACCACAGGACATTAGAGTGCAGACTTTCATATGGCAGGATCTCCTCTGTTGTAGTAGTGCTGCTGAGCATGAAAGTTAATTTACCTTGTGACAGTTTTTTTTTTTTTTTTTATGCGTGTGGGTGAGAAATACATCACACTCTTACGAGTTTGTCCTAGTAATGTGTTCCTACTCCTACACCATCTCTTCCAAGCTAATATTATCTATAACTCTGTTCCTTCTGTAACTTAGCAACAGCAGTTCCTTATATCTTTATCTGAACTCAACCATAATGATTGTGTTATCTCTGGAATAAATATACACATACACATACACTTCATGGTTTACCTGTAGAGCTGCATTTTAGTGACTTCCCTGCACTTCCTTCCTTCACAATCCTTGCCTTAAAGGATCGTTTTGCTAACCTGTTTTATTCTGCAGTCAACAAGGAGGTAAGGAGCAACTTCTACCAAGAGTAAGCTATCATATGAAGATACCTGAAGTCTAATTTTACTTAAAGCAACTTACTCTTTGCAGTTACCTCTGTGTTTATAACATAAACTAATGAAAAACTTCAAATGTGTGAGAGAAATGAGTTTGTATTTGCTAGTGAACCTTGACGGGTATCTTGCTCTGATCTTTACACTGTGTATTTGAACAAACTTCTTTTCTTTTCTTTTTTTTTTTTAGTGTTAGTTCTGCAGTCCTAACTTCCCCCAAAATCTTACTAGTTTAATGGAAAATAAAATACATATAAAGTTTAAAACAGAGATGTTTAAATCTATTGAAGATGTGGTAATTTTACAGGTACTTGCTAGGCACAGTTTTTCCCCATTGAGTCATTTGCTAGCAGGGAGAAAATTGAGTGTAATTTCCCTTTGATAATGCAGGATAAAGTTTTATAGCCAGTACTTAGGAGAAAAAATTTTTACCTTGAGGCAAAATGTTTTGTTGATCTCAAATTCACTCTCTGATAAAGAAAGGAAGCTTTATACTAGCATACTTGGTTATATTTTCAAAGCAGAACTTCGTTCATCCAGCTACAAGTGCTCCTTTTGGAGATTTTTTTTTTTATATTATACTATCATATATTTTTATATATATAATATGTGTATATATTTTCTGCATATAAGGTGTCCAAAGCCTCACATGAGAGGAATTTGAGAATTCCCAGTAGTAGTTTCCTTCCATTGAGTGGGGAATTATGTGCTTTCACATTGTTTCTTCTTTCATCCTTTCAGCCTGCATTGGTGAGGGCTATTTTAAGCTTTGGAAGACCTTTCTGGACTTTTCTTAGATGGTAACTTGTGCTATATTAAATAACCTGAGGGATATTCTTGAATATTCTTGTTTCTTGGCATCCTTTACATTCATCCACTTGTTTGATAATTGACAAGGTCTTAGTTAACTGCTTTAAATATTCAGTAATCTGCTGATTCTTGGGGTGCTTTTACAAGTTGTCTGTGCCCGTTTTTAGTGCTTTTTACGTAAACATAAAAATAAGGAGAGCATAGCAGAATGGGAGTTTTAGTGTGGCTTCCAGGAGAAGTTATCACTGTTCGAGTGTCCCTTTTCTTTCTTTTCTGTAACTTCTTACTGCTTTCATCTAAATCATCTGAGGAAACAAAAATCTAAAATATTTGTAGAAATCTAAATTATGCAAAATAGACAACTATATAGCCTAAAAGGGTCTCTGCTAGAGGAAGAGTTGCAGTACGAACTTGCAACTTATCAAGTTTCTTCAGAAACTACTGTTCAATTGTGTTGTCCACTCGCATTTTCACCCTCTTTGTCTGTCCATAAATTGAATTACTCTTAAATAACTTCTGAGTTCTCCAGGAGAATAGTTAGAGTAGAAGAAAACTGAACAGTTTACAGAAAATATGTTGTATTGTCTTTAGAATGAAAGTATATCATATGTGATTTTTTTCCTGTGAATGTACATAAAACAGGATTATGGACAACTGTATTTTGTGCTTAAGTAGTGGAAAGTCTGGTTGGCCTTCATGACAAATACTAGGATAAATGCAAGGGCATGCCTTTATTTCACAATTGGAAAACAGAGTTAAGACATTCACCAGTTTGACCTTTGCCAGTACTTCTCTAAACTGTTTTAATTTTTTTGCAGTGGTTAAATTTTCCCTTTCCTGTTTGACGATTTTACTTTTCATGAGCATTTTCAAACTTCTGATTCTTTTCCTTTTGATTTCTGTCATTCTGCACTTATATTCCAGATATCTCAACAAAACTTTTATCCTGTAAAAACAGTGGGGACATAAAGATTTCACCAACAAGTTATGTTTGGAAGTACAACGTTCTGTCAGATTGAGCATATTAATTTGTGTTATGCTCAAAGTATTTATTTTCACTCTATAGTATTCCATTAGGGAGTGGGAAGTGAAAGTAATGCTGATACTCTGTATTTCACTGGAGACCAGACTGGTACTGATACGTTAGCAGTCTATGCTGCTATCACCACTGGAAACATCACAACAGGGAACTTTTTCTTCTCTGTTTCTGCTGAGGCAGAGACAACTAAGATCTCTGTGAAGAATGCTGAGGTTATACTGTGAAATTTTGGGAAAACATCACTAAAATTGTATTCTACGAAAATAACTAATGGTACTGGGTACCCAGGAGTACAGCTGGAAGGTCTTTTATTTATTTATTTCCCTCCCGCCCCGCAATGTGTGTTAAATATGCCCATGTCCCCTCCCTCCCTCCCCAAGTTGTGAGAGTTTCCCATGTTTAAAAAAAAAAAAGATTAGCATTGACTACAATTTTATTGTTGTTGGGAGCTGGCATACCATAACAAATTGTTGAGCAATATAATGTTTGGGTAGTCTTGTGTCAGCCGAAGTGATTCTCAGCAACTGGGCTCAGTTACAGTAACTCTTGGATAGAATAGTCCAGTGTAGTCTAAATGCTTAGTTTGTTAATATAGTACTGTTCCCAGTAACTTCGTATTTTTCTTGTAGGGCTGTTCCAGATTCAATTACATGGTCGCCTGATCAAGCTGTAGATCTGAGAACACTTCTTACTATGCCTTTTTTTCACTGGAAAGCTCAATCTCCTTGTCTCCCTGGACTCTGTGTTCTCCCAAAAGTAGGAATATAGAAATACAATTTAAACAGCGGAATTAAGTGTGTTAGACTGTGGTTTCTGTAGGAGAGCTGTCTTTTCCCTAGCTTTTTTCTCGAGTATTTGCAGTTAGGAACAGCTTCAGGGCAGTTATATAGGAGTTTATTTCAAAGTTTTAAATACACTGTAACTTTTTATTGTTGTTTATTATCCAATAAATAGTATTATTTCAGAACTTTGATGCTTTCTTGCAAAAGAAATACCACTGCCAGGTGATCCTATCTGTGGTTCGTTATGCAAACAAACTTTAACAAGCATGGCAGTGTTGAGGAGAAGAGAAAAAAGGGCTGCATTAGGGAGTTAAGGCAGGTGGAAAATAAGATAACTGATGTAAATAAAGGTACATACTAGGGGGAAAAGGAGAGTAATTTAACTGTTCCTGACTGGTTTAGCAGGCAAACTACTCTTGGAAGAAGATGGAACACAAATATCTTAGTTTGTACTGGATGAATTGCAAACATAAGCAGCTTATATTGCACCTTGATGAAATTTGGCTTAAAGCATCTTGATTTTGTTTCTGTTTACATTTCCATAGTGCTGGTATCAGAATATACTGATAATTAAAAATAAATGCTTTAATTGTTTTAGTAAAATTATTACTCTTAAACACTTGCTGAGGAAAACTAACTTTTTATCACTGAAGGCACACATGATAACTTGTTCCGGTTTTTCTGCCTCTGCAGCTATTTAAGTAGTATTTATTTGTAGTAAAATGTATGTTTTAAGATATATATGTTAAGATTTACAAGTATGTATTCATGTGTTAAACTTTATTTTTAAGAGCTTAACGTCTAAAACAGGCAGCATATGTTTCACTATTTGCTTATTATGTTTTTGTATTATCAGTGGATTTCTAGTGGATATGATTTTCACATGCACGATTTTTTTTTCCAGGTTTGAGGAACAGAAGCATGCTTTCCACTGAGTCTTACGCTAACACTTGTGATACAGAATGTCTCTAAGTGAGAAGAGTAGTGTGATTTTTGCATATGAATCTTCAGTACACGGTACCAATGTACTTCTCAGTCTCAATGATCAGAGAAAGCAAGATATTCTTTGTGATGTTACTATTTTAGTGGAAGATCAGCGATTTCGGGCTCATAAAGCTGTGCTTGCAGCTTGCAGCAGTTACTTCCTTTCAAGAATTGTGGGCCAGTTGGATTCTGATCTTATCATCACTTTACCTGAAGAGGTGAATGTTAACTTGCTTCTGTATTTTACTCACCAGTGCTTCTAATCTGTTGTGTTCAGTTCTGTTTTACAGTCGGCTGATGCTTCACTGAGATTAGTAGTTCTTAACGTAAAAGAGTTAGGAGCTTGGGGGGAGAGAATTTCTGAGTTGAAAAGTTGCCATCACTTAAGGTAAGGGCTAGACAGACAGAGAGTGTATATCACAGACTGGATGGAGGTAAGTGAATGCTGCCTTGGGGAGTGTGTAGGGGAGTTCTGTTTACTTAAGTGAATTTTTTTTTTTTTTGAAACTGTGCACCTGGTTGAAAGTACAAAAGATAGACAGAAAAGATACTCATGACCCTCAAATGCTGAAATGCTGGAGAGGTATTGTAGAACTAAGCCGCCTATATGAAAAGGGAATACTTCTGGAATAGTAAATAAGTGGCATTGCTACTGTAACCTTTAAATAAGTGTTTTCAAGATTTTTTTTTTGATGAGTATGTTCCAAAATGCATATATTTGAGAAATGCAACCATTGTTATATTCCTCGATCACAAGATCACTGCGACTTACTACTATTGGCTTTCACATGCTCAGTTCTCCGTTGTTTTGACACATTGGTCTTGAGTTTGTCTATGGAGTTGTACTTTTGAAACTGAGAAAATGCATTGTGATTATTTGGTTGTCACCCCTTCCCCCATCCATAGTGTTAATTCATACTGAATTTAGAGGCAGAACCTGTCATCCATAGGAAAGAAAGTATGTTGTTAGATGCCTGAAGCATCCAAGACATTAAAAGATTCCAGTCAGTATTTAACTAAGCGTGAATAGTCATGTTATAGGAGATAACAAGTAAAGGACATAACAAATGATTGTGAGTGGGTCATCCCCCCACCCCAAAGGAACATCAGACATTGTTGCCTAAATGTTTAATGATGTGTTTCGAAAGCGTGGGTGGGTGGGTGGGTGCACCCGCACAGTACAGGCGTGGACCTGAAAGCTGTGGTTCTTTTCTCCTGCTTAAGCTGTGAGAGTAGGCCCTAGTTTGCAACCTGATTACAATTTGATGGTATGTGTATTTGCATTCAGCCACCAGATACAGCATTTAAGCTTCCTCCATCTTTTGCAAGCTAGTAGTTGAGCTGTTAGTGATGACCTGCTAACAACCTCCCCCCCGCCCTTTTTTTTTTTTTTTTTCCCCTCATATACCATCCCCAGCCTTCTCGAGTTCTGTGCCTTCTTGGTCGCAGGAGCCAAGAATTAAGTTGTTCAGCACTGCACTTGTAGATGAAGAGTGAAGAACCTCCAAATGCTCTGATTGTGCCCTGAAGCAGCAGTAATCTAAATAATTTGATTTGATCGAATCTAAGATGATTTGATTTGTTCATAACTGAGAAGTTACGAACAGTGGCTTCCTGAGAGGAAATTGATTATCGTCTGCTTTGGGGTGGAAAATAACATAAATTGTTGGCAACTTGGCTAGAATCTCCTAAAGCAGAAGGAAGAGTGAGCATCATTCGCTATCACCATGATACCACTGTGTCACTTTTATCCAACCTCCTTACTGTTCTGTGCATAATCACTTCTCTGCCACTTTTCTTCCTAGTACTTTAATGTGTTGATAGCCTGAATGTCTCCCAGATTAAAAGAAAGATAGTGATGGGAGCTGATGGGGGACACAAAGCTATGATTTGGAGTAGAAGAGGGAAATTCATGATGTACAGAAGTTCTGGTGCTGAAGAGAACTTTGTTTTGGGGTAATAGCTGTTGGAAGAATGGGAAATAGACATTGAAGTCGGGGGTGAGGGGAATGCATAGCATCAGAGATAGTAAACCTGAGTGGGAAGGGACCAGAGTTTTAGACAAAATGGAGGAACGTAGCAACTGTAGTATTTATTATATCCTGTTAATTTTACACTTCTAACAATGTCATTTAGCATTACTGACATAAGAACTGAATCTGCTGAAGCAACAAGCAAAAATGCCAGCACTGAATCTCATCTTTTAATCATTTGATCTGCTCACTTGGTAAAAACATTTTAAGATTCAGCAGCTTGAGTTTCTCTTCTGGGAACTGCTAAATATTTTTAAATGAGTCATTTAATGAAGCTGCATATTTAAGGGAGGCAAATACTAATCACATGGTTTGACAACTTGTTAACCTTTTTAATCATCTGAAGTATTTAAGTTTTAAAATGGAAGACACCAGTCTTGTGAATGTGAAATACCAAAGTATTTCTGGAATTAAAGTAGTTCGTGTATATTATACGGTCAAAACTAAGTACTGACAACTTGATGTCAGTTCTTTTGTTTATTTGTTTTTACTCTAAGAATAAGAATTTTAGTCCAAATACAGATTAAATAAAAGGCCTCTGTACAAGTCACTCTTCTGGGTCAGTCAAACCAAGAAACCATCTAGCTTGTTTGAGGGTAGCCAGCTGGAGATGCATAGCAGAAGGTACACGGAATGTAGAGTGGCCTTTCCTCATGATTCTTCCCATTTCTAGTAATACAAGATACTAGAACTACTTTATGTGGAAAGAGTGTACAGTTTTTGAAACACCATGTTTATTTTGTTGAGTTTCATGTTTAAGCATCATCCATTTGTAAATTTACTAAACGGTTTATTGACTAAGTTACTCAATCTGAAGACCTCATGCCAGCATATGGGCCTAGGATAAACTCTACATTTTACACATCTTTTTGTATTATACCGTGAACTCCATAGCATTAAGTATGAATTAATGCGTTGGTGTAATCCGTAAGCTATCTCAAGAGCGTATTTCACACGCTATCTTAAGAGCAGATAAGTCCTAAGGGTTCAAAATTTTTTGCTGAATTGCCTCTGTGGGAGGTATCTTCAACCTCCTTTCATGCATTGCTTAGAGTTTTTGGCGGGAGGAAAGAACCAATTCATAAATTAAGTTTTAGTGTATCGTAAGCAATTTTGCTGACAGAAGAATTCAGTGCAGTTCATGTATTAACATAATGCTTTATTTGATGTATAGTTCTATTTATTTCAATAAAGGAAGGGAACAATGTGAGCTTGAGTTTAGGAAGGACAGAGCAATATATCCACTGTTATTACCCATAAAGGTTCAAGCAAGTATTACATAATTTGTAATGTGAGATGGTCTGTTAACAACTTTTCAACTGATTTCCTGCTCCAAAGAGGCTTTACACTGAGAGTAACTGCTTTTGGGTGTAGAGTTTTTGAGTACTTCTTTTTTTTTTTTTCTCCAAAAACTAAGAGAGTAAGAAAGGGGTAATTGGCTATAGTAACAAATATTTGCATGGTCAAATTTCATTTTTCAAACTTTTTATTATCAATGATGCATGAAACCGAGCAGATAACAATAATTGCTCTTCAGAGGAAGGATTGAATACTGAGAGTGCTGTGATCTTGTTTGAGAATAATTCACATGTACCTTGGATTTGAAAGGCATCTTTATAAAATTGGACTCTAGTTACTGATTTTCAGTGTACAGCAATATTTTTCACTTATTAGTATAATATTGTCAGAACCGTTTAAAAGACTGATGACAATGAAGTAAGTAATTGTCAAAAAGTTTACAGGATAAAATTGTTATATCCAAAAATTTGTCTCCAAATGAGCGTGGGCAGATTTCCTCTGTACGACAAATTTGCTTCTTTGACCTTACTCTCCCTGTTCTACAAGACTTGCACGGTTTGTTCACAGGTGGAAATGGGTTCTGTGTGTTTCTTTATGCATACCCATATTGACCTCTTGGACTATAACTGAAAACTTGGTAACAAAACTGCCCAGTGTACTAGAAGTGGAAGTATACTGAGACTTGTTCTTCTTTATGCTGTATATTCTTACAGAGAAGGGCAAATGTGGGTTGGGCAAGGCTTCACCAAGCAGGAAGTTGGCTGTACTAATGTCTCTTTTCCTCTTTCTTTTTTTAAATAGGTAACACTTAAAGGATTTAGTCCTTTGCTTCAGTTTGCATACACAGCTAAACTTATTTTAAATAAAGACAATGTGTCTGAAGTTTGCAAGTGTGCTGAATTTTTGGGTATACGTGACATTGAAGAATCTTGCTTTCAGTTTCTCAAATTCAAATTTTTGGACTGTAAATCAGATCAACAGGAGTGTCCCAGGAAGAAATGTATGCAGCGTTGTCAGAAAACAAACCCTAAAATTGGCATTGTGGATGATAGGGATGTAGAAATAGGGGATGAAACAGAGGAACTTCTAGAAAAAGAATGTATTCAAACTCCTCAGACAAAGCTCTGTAAAGATGAAGAAAATGCTAAAATATCTCCTGCTCTCCAAGATAATGCTAATCAAATTTGTGATCCTGTACATCTAGAAAGGGATAGTGTTTCAAGCTCATCTTCCCTATGCCCAAAGTATAGGAAGTTCCAAAAAGCTTTTGGAAATGATAGAGTTCATACTTCAGAACCCACTTCCAGTATTAAAGGTATCCAGGTGCCACCAATTGCAACTTTTCTCGAGAAGGAATTGTCTGATAATGATAGCATACAAAAAGCTCAGGAGTATATACCTATGCAGCTGGTCTCAAAATGTGAAGAGACTCAGGTAAAAATGGAAGAGGAGGAGGCAGAGAGTGAGAAAAAGGAAGAAACAAAGAGAGATCCTGTGACTCAGAGTGTTTCATGTCCTGTGGACAAAATGGATGTTACTGCCTTCCCCCCAAACTCTGCTGCTCCTCATGGACCTAATTCTCTGTCTGTTCTACACACATATGAGCAATATGGTGACTTGAATTTCAGTGGTATGCAAAGCAACACAGTCTTAGCTGAAAAAACTATAACAGGTACTGGAGTTAGGAATGACAAAATTGAAAATCAAGATGCACCTTTGAAGGTTGATTTGTGCGCTAGAGAAGCCATTAACATTGCATCAGCTGGTGATCGAAGCAGTGTGGAGAGAGAGGTAGCAGAACATCTAGCAAAAGGGTTCTGGAGTGATATTTACAGTACAGAAGCTTGCCAAATACATTTACCACCTGCAGTAGCAAAAGAATGCTTGGAACCAGTATATTCGGGGAAAAAATCGGAGTGTCCATGGCTGGGTATCAGGATCAGTGAAAGCCCTGAACCTTGCCCTCAAAGAACTTTTACAACATTAAATTCTGTCAACTGCCCCTTTATAAGCAACCTTAGCGCTGAAGGATGCTCCAACAGCTCTGAAATTAGCAGTGGCGATTATGTTCAGGGACAGCAACAAGAACCGTGTCCCTATAATTATGTGATAAGTTTGGGAGAAGATTCGGAGACTGACACTGAGGGAGACAGTGAATCGTGTTCAGCAAGAGAACAAGATTGTGAGGTAAGGACGTTCTTGTATATCCTTTGCTTCTCTATCTCTTGGGGCACTCTTCAGAAACCTAATTCTGAGTCTCCTGTCGTTTGTGGTTGCTTATGTAGAGTCTCACTTAGCATTCCATCTTTTTGGGTAACCATTCAAAGATCTATATGGAAGATCAAATAGTTAATTCGCGGAGACTTAGAAAAATATTTTTTGTTGGGCGGGGAGTGGTGGATGCTTAAGTATTAGACCTTTTCAGACATTTTTCTGGAACAACTTTATCAAAAAGGTTGCAGGTAAGCCATGATTTATGGGTTCTTTTGCAGGGTTTTGTGCAGTTGTCTGTTTCAGTTAAACTTTGGGAAAAGTCTAAACTTCTTGGAAACTTTGTTTTGTAGATGGTTCAAAGCCTTTTTGTTCTAACTTCAAGGGAGAAGGTGGAAGGGAATTAATACTTCATATTTCCAGCATGTTTCCAGACTGCTTTAATGGCATTGACATCCCTGTAACTTAGGTTGTATTTGTTTCTCCAGCTGCAGAAATTATTGGCACTTCTTTCCTTCATGCCATTGCTTTGGTAGCATTTCAGACAGATGCCATAAGTAAGCTAATACCATAAAGTTTACTGTATACTGTATGTAGAAAGTAGAATGATTTCTGTCACAGTTCTTAATATTGTAGAATTGCAGCATGACTCTGTGCATGGTGGATCAGTTAACATCATAAAAATTTATTTTTAAAGCACTAGTTTTTTTGTCTGTTCCTCTCTCCTCCCTCCCCCCGCCCATTATAAAGAAGTGGCGTCACTGTAGAGGGCAGTACTCTGCTCGTTTGTTTATTTATATCAGCAGCGAGAGCTATCAAACATAGAAGACTTTTTTCCTCCTCCCTCCTAAATTCAGAAGTGTGGCTATAGCAAGGTGACTTATTCTGCTGCATGATATACTCAATTGTAATATATATTTGGATACCTCATAAAATGTGACAATTATTTTCTAAAGGTAGAGATGATTTTCAATATGAACAAATTTTTTTTAATGACCTGTGTATGTTTCTGAAGCTACAACTTCTATAGCTCAGAGGTACGTACTGTAGCAAAAGTCTGGTTCTGCCTTTCTCCAGTATTCAAAAGTACGTGACAAATACGGACTGGAGCTAACTTCTGCATCTTGAACACATGCACTTTTTCTGCAGAAAACTATTGGTATAAAAATGCGTCCAGAATCTTAAGTTTATGGGAAACTTAAAACATGTTAGTGATTCTTGACACCTGTGTTATATACCATCTCATCATAACTTATTCCTTTAGAGTATATCACTTGAGTGATTGTTATGAAACAATCATATGCTTATGAAACTCTAGTATACATGTGCAGTGTAACTCAGTTATTTCTCCCATGCCTCTGCAGTTCATCTGCCTGAAACCCCTGGATTTTATTGACCTCACCTGATGGCTATATTAGATTGCTCTTGTCTCTGACTTAAAAATAAATAAAATTTGCAGATTCTATTGTAAGGAATGCTTAAAATTAAAACTTAAATTGACCTGTTAGTGTTCATGTGTCTATCAGTTTCACCTTTGATTCAGAACTGTATCTTACATTCTAGGTAAAACTGCCATTTAATGCACAAAGGATCATTTCACTTTCCAGAAATGATTTCCAGTCATTTCTGAAAATGCATAAATTGACTCCTGAACAATTGGACTGTATCCATGATATCCGAAGACGAAGTAAAAATAGAATTGCAGCACAGCGATGTCGTAAGAGAAAACTTGACTGCTTACAGAACCTTGAATCCGAAATTGAAAAACTGGTATGTATAAATATTCATTGTTATTGAACTGAGTCTTTCTTTAAATATATTGACTGGACATCTGCCAGTATTCTGAGTGAAGTGGCTTACTACTTTATCCACTCAAGCTCGGAAAACTTTACCAGTCTTTAACAGATGACTGCTTGATAACTGTTCTAGATTTTCTGTCTCACCTTAAGGAGCACACATTTTTCCTTCTTTGGTGGTGTTTCCATTCAAGAAGTAGTGCATTGCAGCATAACTTTTTGTGAATGCTGTTTCTGAAGCCCTTCAGCATTGAGCTTAATTACACAGATGAATGATTTCTAAACTATCATCCCACCCTGCTCAATTTTCTACCTCTTCTACCTCTTCACTTTGTTTTTTGTTCTTCAGCTTGTCGTATTGCTCATGATCAAATTAAACGCAAGCTGAAGTTTTCATTTAATTCGATGGAGCTGAAAAATGCAGCGTTAGCTGTCTAAGTATTTGTTCTTATAAGATAGTAACGTGGGCCAGAAAACTGTTTCCCAGGTCTTGAAACTCAAAAACATTTTCCTTTAAGACTCTTGCAGAAAGGGAGGATATATAGCAGAACTCAAGGAGCTGCTTAACGTTTTGGCAATTACATCAAGATTAGGAGTTAGGAGCTGAGGAGTTAGTCCAGATTTTTCTACAACCACACACACACACACACATATATATATGTGTATGTGTGTTTGTGTGTGTGTATATATATATATGTACACAAAAGCACAAAGCTGTATCTGTATTTTCCCTTTCTTAAAAGGTAGTAAAAAGTTAAATGTATAGCTTCAGACAAGGATGGATAATCTGAAGTTCTTCTGGCAAGAAAAATCATTGTGTGGGGGTGTTTTCCCCTCCCATCCCTGTTTCTGACCCAATCTTCTTACTTCAAACTTATGATTGATTGCACTGTGTGCTCTTTATAGTTCAGTGACTTAGGGTTACTGTTCTCTTAATTCTTGTTTTTGTAGTGATTTAGACTTTGTGCTTTATGTAGATGAGTTTGGTATGTGTATCAGCTAGGTATGTATGCAGTTATGTAAGCACCTTTTTACTTTACTTTTGACTGAAAAAGAAAGTAAAAGTAGAGCAAAGGACTATGAGTTAGAACATCCTTTCTCTTCCTGAAGTGCTCCATCATCTTTTACTCCATACACTTCTACTTCTGAAACAACTGAGATAAGGCAGGCCTGTGGTGCCACACAAGCCTGAGTCAACAGAGCAAGTCCATTCAGTATGCTGAAGATGATGTTCTAGGGGCAAGAGAAATCAGGTGATCACGTCAATACAAGTCATACTATTCTAACTGAAGAGAAGTTGCATTTCTGACAGTTCCAAACTTTTTAAGTGTTTGTTTTTGTCATCTTAGTGTTATTTCTCCTTGTTATGTAACTCTGTCATTATTGTGCAACAGTTGAAAATTTTTTTTTTTAAAGATATGATTCATCAGCAAGAATAGATGTGAAGTTGAGGAATAGAACAAGTGACTGATAATCGTAGTGCAATATCTTTTATTTGGATCAGCACTAGAAGAGAAGTATCTGCTTTTTTTCAGATATCGCGATGCAAGTTCTTTTAAAAAAAAAAAAAGAGAGAGAGAGAGGGAGAATGAGTGTTGATAATTGTGAGGTCAGGTCTGAGCTATGAATCATGTTGTAGGTACAAATGTGTTCCGATCACTTATTTTCTCCAATTGTGCAGGTAAGGTTTCTTCAGCATTTAGACCTCGTTTGGAGCTATTAAGCATGTATAATAGCAGTTGACGTTTAGGACTATCAAACTTGTATAAGTTGTGAACAAATAAAGAAACTTTGAGATCTTTCTAGCTTTAATTCCCAGTTTAGGGGACAAAAGGAGAAATCTGTGAATCTGCTAAAGGCGGTGGTACATCCAAATTACTTGAGGTATGACTCCTTCTGCTTTGTTCCTGCTTCCCTGGGTCAGTGATGTGTCTTGGCATTGTTAGTTTTTTTGGGTTTTTTGATCTTTTCAGGATATTCTCTGTAGCATGGCTTTGAGCATTTTTGTTTTGGTTTGGTTTTTTTTGATCTTTCCAGGTTATTCTCTGTAGCATGGCTTTGAGCGTATTACGTTGCAGCTATAGCTTGAAAACCCTTGGCAAGTGAATAATACTTAGTATACTATATAGCCTGTTAGGCGATATTATTTGGTTAGATTTCTCATCCTCATTTCCAGTTTGTACAGTATATTTTCTTATATTACTTTCTATTGCTGGTTGCTTACCAGGCTTTTGTTTTCTCATATATTGAAAAACACAGTATTTGTGGTGTGTTCCTTGGGATAGTCCTGCACCTGGGACAGACTAACCCTTTGTACTAGTCCAGACTGGGGACTGATTGGCAGGGGAACAGCTTTCTGCCCAAGGTCCTTTTCAGGCAGCAAGCTGAACATGAGCCAGCAGTGTGTCCTGGCAGAAAAAAGGTCGTTGGAGTCCTAGACTGTGTTAAAAGAAGCACAGCTAGTGGTTTGAGGGCAGTGATTATTCCCCCTATATTTGGCGCTCATTAGACCACATCAAGAATACTGTGTCCAGTTTTGGGCCCCCCAGTACAGGAAATGTATTGATTAAATGGGAGCAAGGTCAAGGGAGGGCCACCAGGACAGTCAGGACTGGATCACCTCTCCTGTGGGGAGAACCAGAGGGACTAAGGGCTTTTTCAGCCTGGAGAAGAGACCACTGCAGTTGGGCCTAAAAGCCGCCTGCCCGTGTTTCTATGGGACAGTCATCAAGATCATAGAGCCAGGCTCATCATAGTGAGAGAAGAAGAGTTGTTGTCAAAAACTGAAATGGGAGGTTTTGACTGGATATGAGGAAAAACTTTTTTCTGTGAAGACAGGCAGGCTGTGGAGCAGGTTGCTTGGAGGGGTTGTGCAGGCTCTATTCTTGGAGATTTACAAGACCCTACTGGGCAAAGCCCTGACTACAGACCTCTTGAGGTACCTTCCCACCTCAGTGACCCAGTGAATTTGTAAATCTTATGTTAAGCTCTATGTATACTTGAAAAAAAGCTATTCTTTATTGAATCAATTAATGGTTATATGCTATTATGACCTCAGAACTAATTGACAGTACTCGGCAATATTAATATAATATTGCTAAAATAAAAACTTCTTCAAAATTAAAATAATACTGAAATGTATTATCTGTTTACTACTTCAGATGGGAGAAAGAATTATACTGAAAAACTGTTTTCTGAATGTTGAAGTTTCAGTGTTAAGCAGGTCTGTGTCCCTTCATAAGTCCATAAAATACAGCTGGTTGTCTCTGCATATCCAAAATGTACATAAAGTGATTTCAGATTAGGAGATTTGACAACAGTTACTCCCAATATGCTGACTAGTGGAAGTTTGTTAGTAAAGCAGTCTTTCTAATCACCTTAGGCAAAAAGGACTGGCAGCAACTGCTTCTCTTGCAAAATGCCGCTTAAAACTAGTCAGTTCTCAAAAAGAAGTTGTAAAGGTTGCAGTATGATGTTTCTCCCGCAAGAGGGAATGCAAGAACAACTAAAAATAATTAAACATTTCAAGAAATAATTGACATAGCAATAATGGTATGTTAACATAACACACAATCTTAGTGATTAAGATTTATTTCTCAAACTGTTTAAAGATTCGTCTGAAAACTGAAATTTGTCAAAAGTTTATTTTTATTTATTTTATTTTTTGAAACTTTATTATAGAATTCCAAATGTGTGCGACTTTCTTCTTCTAATGGCTTAATTGTGGTCTTACTTGTTTGCTGCTTCCTGCCCTTCTTTGCCCTTTCCTAATTTTTCTTTTTTCCAGCTATCACTTGTTTCCATTGTGAGGCCAGTCCCTCAGTTTTTCATGTCCTTTCATCTTCAGCCAGCTGTATTATGAAATTTTTATAGACTTCTGACTTTGTATAAAGATGCAATAAAAAATTTAAAAGCTGATTTTTAGTGAATGATACTCTTTTCCATTTGATGTTCATTAATGAATCGCCATGCCTTTCACTGCCTTGTGTTTGGGAGAACCCTTCTGCATTGTGTAGTTAGACTAAGTTGTTAAAAGCAAGGACAATCTTACTTGATGTCTAAATTGTATCTACCACTCATAAGCACATTTGCTGTGTGACTAAAGCTCAGAACATTCAGCCTGTATTCTCTTGTTCTAACTGTGGGTGACCTACCTGGTGATACCTCTGTTCTTGTCTCTTCAGTTCACTGATTTGTCATTCCTCTGTCGCTCTGTCTTAAATGCTCTAACTTCCGGTGTTCTGGTCAGTGTTTTGAAGCAAACTGAATTAGTGCCTTTTCCAGAGAAGATAATTTGTTTACAGTTTTAGCAGGTTTTATTTCTTTAAATTTCTTACGTTCTCCCTTTGAGTTTAGGAATACTTCTTAACTCCGTTCTTTGTTCTACAACAGACTTGGTGCTTCTTGAGAAATGAGTTTATTTTTATCTAATAGGATAGTATCAATAGTGAAAATGTGAGGTCTGATCTTCAGTATTTATCTTTTTAAATGTGGATCTTTACGTAGACTGCTCTGCTTACCAGTTTTGTTGATTCAATGGTAACAGTTTCAAATGTATGATTCTGAAGAATTGGTGTTTTGGGAGTATTTAGAGTAATAGTATTTTTAGTAAGTAGAGCTAGGTTTCAGTTTATTTAATAACTAAAAATTATTCTGTAGGCTGTCAGCAGCAGTTTTGTAAGAGTTATGTGTCTGCAAAGTCACTTTGAGTTGATGGCCCTTTCACGAGAGGGTAGGATTGTCCTTTTTTAATAGGCAAATCATTGTGTCGCTCTTTACTTTTACTGCTGAAATACTGCTATTTCAAGACTGTTAGCTACAGTCTTGTTTCAGTTTTAATGGGAACATAGAAACCTGAATTTGTGTAGTAAAATGTAGACTAAAAAGCTGTTTTTCTTTCTGCAGCAAAATGAGAAGGAGAACTTACTGAAGGAGAGAAACCACATTTTATCAACTCTAGGTGAAACAAAACAGAATCTGACTGGACTTTGCCAGCAAGTGTGTAAGGAAGCAGCCTTGAGTCATGAGCAAATACAAATACTTGCAAAATATTCTTCCTCAGATTGCCCGCTTTCCTTTTTATTCCCCGAGAGAGAACGAACAGCTCCATCTGATAGTGAACTTGTGATACCATCGTGTGTGGAATTAAAAGATGGTCTTTCAGGTGTTACATCTACAAATGAGCAGAGTTCTTGTTATCAGTGTGTGAAAAGTGTGTGTGATGCAACATATAGTCAAGTACAAGAACTGCATCCAGTTTCTGTAACAACACTGGAGAAAACCTCGCTTGTGGAACAATGTGGACAGAGTGGCGGTATCACAGACTTCTGTCAGCAAATGACTGACAAATGCACTACAGATGAGTAAATATGTTCTCATTGCTATTGCCAGGCTCTCAACACTGCAACTTAAAGTGAGGATTGAGCATTATTGTAAAGTAATTTACTAAGTGATAGAAAAGATGAAACTTTATCTTTTGAAACTACAATAACAAATACATGGTCATTACATTATTTGGCAAGCTTTTGGGTTTGCTCTGTGTAGTTGTAGAAGATAATTTGTATATGTCAAGTCTTGGAGCTTTTCTGTGTGGGGACGCCAAGGAGACTTCAGGTAAGTTGATTAGAAGTATAAACTGTATGCTCAGATGTTTTTGTGAGGAACTGTCGTTTAGGCCTGGAGTAGCCTTCACTCTGATTTATGCCACAATACCTAATGCCACTCTACATCTCAAGAGAAATTATCCTATTAGGTGTTTATGCACACTGACTTCTATGTGTGGAGTTCTCTCCTCTTTATGTTTCTCCCCTGCCCAGTACACAAACCCTAAGAAGAGTATACCCCTCTGAAAATGTTTTTGCTGTCAGTGGGTTAGGATAACGTGACGATGTGAGGAGATTGGCAAATGGGCTCTGGAAAACTTCGTTACTTGCTGCTGTTCCCACCCCTGTAACAAAGCCATTTTTGTAGAATATATGCAATTTGCCTTAGCTCTCCAGTTTGTAGCTAAGCTGTCTGGAATGGCTGCGGTGCAGGAGCCTGTTCCCTTCGATTTTTGTAGGAGGGGTGACAACAGACTGGGAGAGGCAAAAGTTTGAAACCGATGCAACTCTTTGCTCAGACAGCGTGCATCGGCTCTTCTGGCATCTAAATCCCATATGCTTGTTAAAATGCACTTCATTGCTGTATAGCAACTTAAAATCCTAGCACCTTCTAGCTCAGTCTTGTTTGTAATGAGTTGGAGTCAAAGTATTATGAAAGGCTAAGGACAGAATTTTTTTTTTTCCAAGGTATTTCAGGCACCAAATTCTTATTCACTTCAGTGCTTAGTCGTGTTTAAAGTAACCTACAAATGTCTTTGTTCTCTGATTACTGGGACCAGTAATGATCTATTTCAGAATTTTAATCTTCAGAATGCTTTTATGGATAAACCTCTAGTAGATTTCAAATGGCTTGTGCTATAAGTATAAATGTATTTTAAGAAGTGTAATAAGAAAATGAGCTGGAGGGACTTCCTGCATTTACTTTGTGAGGAAGAAATTCAGCCACTAAAATAAGAGCAGTGGAAAACAATCCCTGTTTTTAGACTTTACATTATTGTAGATGCATATTGTATACTAATGATGCTTTGTTATTTAGATGTTATTCTCGCATCAGAATCAAGTATTGAACCTCACAACAGAAAACTTTTTTTTGGATTTGCTAGTTTACAAAACATGAAGAATTTTGTACAAGCCAGTGGAATTCTTCATTTCCTACCTCAGGATGTACATTAGCTTTTTGTGTCTTTGTGTGCATGTACAGTAGACAGCAACTAAAGCAAAGGACTATTGTAAATACTATTTTTGCAGTTTTATCTTGCAGTAAGATAAAAATTGCTAAAGAAAGTTTTTGGCGAAGCATCTTTCGCTTTCTTCCTCTGTATAGGTAACATAGCATTAATAAATATGTTAAGAACATTAGCCCACTTATAAAAAAGTAAATAAATAGATTGACAGATTTTGACAGTGCTTCTCATAACCAGCATGTAATACAAGTGAATACACTACCTCACCCATGGGATTGAAAGTTAATTCAAATCTCCAGTGATATCCTTGGATTTTCATCATATATCATTACTTTTTTTAAGGGAAAAATTTATATTAATGGAGCATAGCTTGTGTAAATCACAGTGCTTACAGTAATTGAAGTTTAGAAATAAATACTATATTGCAGACTTCATGAGAGTTCTACTGCTTTGGATGTATTTTCAGATAATTGAAGTGAAATTCTTTTAAATAACTAGCATTTATATATGTCGATTCCTTTATAAGGTGTTACTCCTGAATCTCTGTGTCTGTTCTCCAGCATCTGTATATCCCCAGTTAATTTAATCCTTTTTCCCTCCCATGCTGGGCAATATTTTGCTTCCAAGTCTGTTCTGTTATTTAAAAACAACAAGAAACAGTAAAAAGATACACAAAACCCAACAGCATCTCCCCAATCCCACTACTATCCATACATATTTCTTTACAAGTTGGTGATATTCTGAAATGACCTGGATTATGACAGTAAATCATTGTCCTAGCATGCGCAGACCCTAAAATGGAATTCCTTGGGTTAAATGCCTTTGTTATAAGGGGGTGAAGCATATATTTAGAGAATAACTGGCTGGAATCTTAAACCTACCCAGTGACCTAAACCACTGACTGACTTGGGTATGGATGATGGAAGACAGAATCGGTGATTACCAACTTTAGGAGCTAGAATATCTACCAAGAAGAGTTGTGCTCGGTTGTTACAGTGTGATAAGCAGCCAGGGTCTCAATTTCATCCAGCAAACCTTCCAGGGCTTCCAGTGCAGAATTAATGGCTGTAGTTTTGTGTTGGGGGTATGATGAAATTCATATTGTATATTTAAACCTATGATGAACTTGATGATGTTTGATGGTGGGTTTTTGCCTAACCAGCTGCATCTAAATAATTTTTAAAATATTTATTTAATACAGTAGACCTACAAGTTGCATGTCGACTTCTATAGGTGCAAACTTGCAAAACTTAAGAATGAATGACAATTTTATGATACAGAATTCTCAGGTAAATGTTTTGGAGTCTTTTTGGTAAAGAAATACTCAATTTTGAAATTGTAAAATACTTTGTTAAAGCATGTTTTAAAATACTTTGGACAGAATATCTTAAAGCCATAAGAGTATGATGGCATACAAATTGTAAAATAAACAGATAATTACAACAGTTGATTTTGTATCTTTCCTAATCCAATATTTTTTAAGTCTACAATAAAACCACTATCCTTTCTATAAAGGCTTTTCCTTTTTTGTACAAATCTTTTTGCAGTGCAAGTGTTTACTGGTGCATTATTCACTTACGTAGTACTGCTAAAACAGATTTCTGAAATTATAGCAAAATTACATATAGCTTATAAATTCCAGAATAATTCACACATTAGCAAATATTACTGAATTGGAATAAAATTCCCATAAGTTTTTTTGGTATTTGTTGTGTTCTGGTCTATTTGAGTGGGTTTTCTTTTCTGGTGAACTTTGAACTTTTGAATTTGAGGAAGAAAAGAGGGGAATGGTTGATCAATGGGATATTAACGTGTTGTTTAGTTCTGCAGAAATTTTGAAATGATTCTTTCATGCGTAGTATAGATCAGTGCACTAGGCTAATCCTTATCATGAGGGAAGTTGTAATGACTGCTATGCTTATTAAACTTCTCAAGAAGTATCTTTGTAAATACAAGCATGTTGAGCCCTACTAAGTTGTTCAGAAGGATTGCAGAAGAATCAGCCTTTGAGAAAACTACATTTAACCTGATCTCCCTCTCTACCTTCTAAACAGTAGACTAATACTGGACCTAGCCATTTGGTACAGTGATTTACCTTGTTTAGATGCTTTTCTTTGCAAGTCTTACTTCACTTAAAACCTTGCAACCTGTGCATTTGACACCTAAATCTGAAGTTACTTCATTCTGCAGCAGACAGTTCATTAAAAGTGAAAAAGGGAAAAAGGTGGAAAGCAAACTGATAGATTACAGGACTCAACTTGCTGCTTATAATTGGTAGAGTAGTAGAAGCTGTATTTCTCTTTCTCAGGGACAGTTTTGTCATTGGAACTCTTAGGCACTTGCATTTAGTTTGTAGGCGATAATGAGAAGTACACAAAACACCTAGGTCTGGACTTCAAGAATCAAGCTGTTGAATTTCACAATAACAGTGCTGGGGTTGCTCTTTAGGGAAAAACTAAAATCTCAATGCAGGATTCTGTGATACATGCTTAAAGCTCCTCTTGAAAATTCAGTAAAAACAATTGCAACAATAGCAAAAATGTATGTATGCCAGAGATCAGTACTGTACAATTAATTCTGTTTCTGAATTTTTTTTTTAAAGGAAGTTAGAAATGAGAAACTACTGTCTGGCACTCTTATGTGGGCACTTGGTTTTTATCTAAGAATGACAGAGCTGAGGGAAGACAGTAAGAAAATTGTTTGAAGTAACAAAGCTTTTTTCTAAAGCTGAAAAGAAAGTGAAAATATACCTACTTTTAACTGATACCACTTTTAGAACAAACTTCTTTAAATTGCTACTGTTTTGACAAAGGTTTCAGTGTAAACAAGTTGACCTGTATAAGGCAAAGTGAGTTTTTGTCCCTCTGGCACTGACATAGAAACTGGACCTTTACGCCTGTTAGCTTTTCTGTTGATTGCGTATTGATTTCTTTTTTTTTGTTGTTTGACTTTGCTCTTCCAAAGAATTAGCACCGAGAGCACACAGTTGGGATTCACAAGCATGCATAAAGGTGGATTTTAAATCTTTCAATCTAAGATTTATTCTCAGTTGTGCACAGGACTAAAGGAAGAAAGGGAAAATGAACCTTTTAAGCCGGGAGTTGAGTAAGAGAGACAGTGAATGTGAGGTTATAGAGGCCTTTTAAAGCACCTGTTATGCTCTCGAGACCTTTGAAAAAATTTATATATGCATCATTGACAAATAAAAGTGCATATCCTTTTGACTTGCAGATATTTATCTGTCAGCATGCAGACAAGCTAATTGTGCTGGCAAAGCAACTTCCCCCTCCACCTTCGGATATCTGGGGTGGGGCTGGGAAAACAGTGTTCACCTTGGAGATTGAAGCTTTAGAAATGAACAGGATGTTCAAACAAGCCTTTCTGTGGAAAAGGTGTTGTATGAAGGTCTGGATTATGGCATTTATAGCTAAGAGATTTTTGCTAGGAAACTTAAGTCATGAAATATGCTCCTTAAGATTATGAATTTTTGTTTTTAATGAAGTGTTGTGTTCCAACTTCTCCTTTTGAGAATTTAGATGTGTTGTCAAGCTTTCCTTCGCACTCAAAAAAAACACAAAGTGCTTATATTTGTGTTGGGCCAGGAAAAGAGTGAAGGTGGAACCTGTCAGGAGTGCATACAAAAACACTAATTTGTTTATAGTTTAGAGAAGAAATGTTATAGAAGGACTGTGAAAAAAAATTCATACCCTGGCTTTTTTTTTTTTTTTTTTTTTCCTCCCCTTCTCCTATCTGTTCTCTGCACTTGGAGGAAAAGTTGAAGGAGAAAAAACACGCTTATGGGAACGCTCATCTAGAATACAGTGTAGCTTTCTAAGGATGCTATTTAAGAAGACAGATACATGTAATAAAAAAGTAGCTTGCATGTATTGTGGTATTAGCAGGACGTCGTGCCAGGTATTGTAGGCACGCATGCATATAGTCCCTTTCCGAAAGAGGTTTCGATCAAGGAATATGAGATAACGCAATAAATGGAAGCAGGGTTTCTAATTTTGTTTTTATTAAATTTATCCCACTCTTTTCTAAAATGCAAAAACTTTCTGCAAAAGCATACAATTCTTACTATAAACCACCTTGAGAATAGAAAAGATCTTGGTTCACATTTGAGATGTGAAGATTTTATTTCTGTAACATTTTCCTGCAAGTTGCTCATACCTGCCTTGGAAGTGAGTGCTAAGGAGCTTTTTACATATGTAATTAAGACTCATAAATCTGTGCTTCATATAGTTAAATAAAAGTTGATTTCTGAGAGTGCTGGTGTCCCGTTGTTTTTTCTTACAATTGTCCACACTATGAGAATAGACACTTGATCTTCAAAAATGTTTAGTGATTTTTGAGGAGAGGGAAGGGCAGCAAACTGGACCTAGTTTGAACTAGGACTCCTTAAAGAGGTCTCAGTGATGTTTTAAACGTGGCCCTGAGTTTTGGTTGCTCATCTAGAATGTGGGCGTACAAATTTGAGACTGGCCTTTCCTGTGGTTCACTTGCTCTCTAGGAAAGTCTGGATCATTTTTATTCTACAAATGCTGTGACATTACAATTTGAAGTGCGCAATCTATTTTCTTCTTTAAACTATAGATGGCAGCATAATACTGCATACTACCTGCATCGCTACTGCGTCAAAGCGAGAACAACTCGATCAACTTAAGCTACTGATCATCTGTTGTTTTTTAAGAAACTGATGGAAGAGGTGGTTTCTTTGGGTGGATCGCATAGACTATAAACTTCAATATGTTGCAATTTATGTTTAATACTCAGCTTTTTCATTTCAACAATTAGTGATGCAAATGTAGCATACAGATTACTCATGTTATAATGTAGTCAGGTATGAACCTTAAAATGCATATATTCTGCCTGTAACTTTTCACTCTTGAAGTGTATACTGTCTTATGGACTTGAAGATAGAAATGAGAAAAATAGTAAAAACAACTAGCAAAATATTTCAAGACTTTTGGCTTTGTAAATGTAAATAAAATGAAGGAGGGTGTCAAGAGGACGGGGCCAGACTCTTCTCCGTGGTGCCCAGTGGCAGGACGAGAGGCAACGGGCACAAACTGAACCACAGGCAGTTTCCTCTGAACCTGAGGAAAAAGTTCTTTCCTGTGAGGGTGACAGAGCACTGGCACAGGTTGCCCAGAGAGGCTGGGGCGGATCTTTCCCTGGAGATGCTCAAAACTTGCCTGGACGCGATCCAGTGTAATGTGCCCTAAGTGACCCTGCTTGAGCAGGGGGCAGTTGGACTAGATCTGAAGGGGTCCCTTTCAACCTCAACTGTTCTGTAATTCTGTGAAATATCCTTAAGTGGAACAATACATTAAGGTTTGCCTTAGACTCTGGCAAGCATTTAGCACCTTTTTAATGTTTAAAAAAGCCATTAGTTCAATGAGTCTTCTAAAAGAGAAGAGGTCTTAATTCTGTGTCAGCATTGCATCTTTTAAATGTAAGTAAGACAGAAACTGTTTTCTAAATCGTGTCATTTGCTGTATGAGATTGATCCAAGATTGTACTTGAGAAATTGTCATCTTGTCAGTTTGCAAGATAGTTTCTACTAGCAAAACTGAGAAGGATGGTTCTGTTCCCTCTTTCCCCTTCTTGGTGGACTACCTTTTTCCTGGATGCTACTCTGAAGGAAAAAATACCCTGGTTTTGAACAAAAATCAT